TTTTTATAATCCTTTTTATCCATAGTCTAAGAAAACTCGTTTACCATTTATTCTCCATGAGAGATGATATAGGATAATAAAAATTTGCTACACTGGAAAATTATTTAAATCAAATTTTCAAATATTAATAGTATTTTTTATAAAATCCTAATTATCTGATTTTTATTATTTTTACAACTAATTTCAGGCATAACTAACGAAGATATGATACCAATAAGGTACTAGAGATTTTTTAGTCAAACGAATTTAGTTACTGACAAAAAGGGATCAACGAAAACTTGTATTAAAATCATCTTAGAGGGAATGCATTTATTAGTGTAGCTCCAAATAATTTACTAGACATATAAATTTATTGTATTATGAAATAAAAATATTGATGTTTTGATTTGAGTCCAAAAACAGTGGAAAGCATAAATAGTATTTTTATGTTACCATTAGCTCATATCTTATACCATATAGAGGCTTTTTAGTTTTCATTGACTCACATTTAAGAAAATGTATACTTGTTGTATATATATTGTTAGTATTTCAAAGATTATCAATTATTTTGTCGGAAGTTAACGAGAGAGAAAACACAAAATGAAAAACAGTTGTCCAATTCTTGGTCCTCAATGTGATTACTGTGAGTGCACAGGTAGTGGATGTCAGTCTCAATTCCCAGGTAATATTCATGAGCCTTTTATAACATTTTTACTCTTGATAATATACTAACCAATGTAATACTTTATAACAAAATAAATTTTTGTTAGCTTNACAATAGATGTGGCTGTGACACAATGTGTCAGTAGTAACTCATGTATTGTAAAAAGGTAAACATAAAATAACTTAGAAATGATTTCGGAGCTACATCCAAATATTAATTGCAAATAATACAATCTCCACTTGATTAGTGGATGCGTAGTGTTGAAATAGAAACTTTGCAGTGAAGATGTTTGATGAAGTGATAAGAGAATCTTGGTTTTTCGGTAAGCGACATAGAGATGTAGCATAAATGTTTCAAGGTTTTTAAAATTGATCGAACATTTACGTTTGTAAACACAGCCTATGCGTATGATGAAAAGTTCAAAATGTTATTTATTTTACTTACAACCCTTAAAGTACATATTTTCATAGAGCAAACTGAGACTACGTTTTATAATATTACATCCATTGTACCCACATCCTTTAATTTTTTTTCGTTCATATACTAATATATCTAAGATAATATGTATTAACGATAGTATGTTCATCATCGGTTTGATATGCATTTTTCAAAAGAAATTGTAACAAAAAAAAGAGAGTTA